AATTTTGAAACAAGTGGCTCAGTAGGATCTCGATATCCAGCATTAGCAATAATACGCACTACACGTTTTTGCAATTTCATAATTTTATCAAGATTAGTTGGGTAGGTTTTAGTCCAAACTATATTACAGTATTGTATATACGGTAACACCAAGGAGCAATATAAAGTTCTTCTGGTGGGCCTAGTAATAAAATGCTTTACTTTGTTGAAGGCTCTGGGGTTTTTCTTTGATACCTCAGTTATATGGTTATTCCAAGTCAAATACTCATCAATTGTTATACCAAGAAAGGTTGTGCATTTAACATGTTCTACGTTTACATTATTTACGCTAACTTTTACATCTTGTTTTAATTTCTTATTTGTAGATCTGAACATAATATATTTAGTTTTTTTAATATTTAGAGATAGTTTATTTGCATTTAACCATTCTGCAACTTTATTCACCTCTTCTTGTATGACCTTATTTTGTTATTTACGACAGCTGTTGCTATAAAAGATATATTAGTATCATCTGCAAACAGTATAAACGAAAGTAAATTGCTACTATGTTCAATATCATTTATATAAAGTAAAAATAAAATTGGTCTGAAGAATTGAACCCTGTGGGACACCTGTTTTAATTGTCATTTCTTCTGACCGAGTTTGATTGTACTTGGCAATTTGTTTTCTGTTTGTTAAATAATTGTCAACCCATAGTTGAGTAACTCCCCGTATACCGTAATGTTCTAATTTTTGAGCCAGAATGCAAGATCGCGACTACCACTAAGTCAAATTCTGAATGACAAATGCAAAGCTGAATACTACTCGAACCTGATCAATACGTATAAAGGAAACACTGGTGCTTTATGGAAAACGTTAAATGACATCTCGTCCCGAAAATCTCACTCCTCGCCATCTTGTATTGAAGCTAATAGTATTTATGCCTTCCGTCTCAACGAACGATCTTAAACTATGTATTATACATGAAGACATTACTTCCCACACACGCATTATCGGCTTGAGTGTTGCATCTCCTGAGCTCCGTTTACTAGGCGGTGTACTAAATAGAACACTGTAAATAATTCATCTCGTTGTTTGGTTAATCTGGCTAGCTGTGGGTAAAGATTCCCCCAGCCGCTTTATTTTAACTTTCTAAATATAATACATAAGATATGTATCTAAATTAAAATGTTCTGAAAACCGTTTTGCCCAGTAAAGGTGAGGGCAAGATTACGCCATAACATATACAAAGCTGGAATTAAAACTACAATCCATATATTATACTATGGATGCAGACATGGGGAGGAGGTGGGTTATCAAGTTTTTTTATTGTCTTCACTAGGTGATGTTCCTTTGACGGTAAGCTGTACAGTATGTGAATGCTTAGGACTTAGCATAGGGGTGTGTTATAACCCTTTCGTAATCGTTATCTATATATAACCGAGTCTGTTCAAGATATACCTTAGGCATTTCCTCTCTCTGTCAGCTTAATATATAATACACCATGGCTTATCAATTGTAATAACCGACTTATCTCCCCAAAGTCTGAGACGGAGGCCATAAAATTCCTATTAGCTCGCAAATATTTTCTTTCTCATACCGACTCAAAGTTTATAGCTGAGTCATTGAATGATTATTTCTCAAGCATAGGATCCAAATTGGCATCTAAGATAAGAAATTTGTATCCAAATCGGAATTCTATTAAGCAACCTAGTCAGTTTAGGGAAAATAAATTTGTTTTCCAGCCAATTGAAAAAAGGTGTGTGTATATATGGTGTTCTGAACAATCTTAAAACCAACAAAACTGTAGGCCTCGACAAAATCAGCGCTAGGTTACTTAAATATTCTTCCAGTGTTATAACTCCCATCTTAACCAAACTTTTCAATCGTTCACTCACTTCCATCAACCTAGAAGTCTGGCAAAGTAACAGCGCTTCTTAAATCTGGTGACCAATCCAATGCTAGCAATTACAGACCAATCATGATACTCCCCACAATTAGTAAAGTTCTCGAGAAAGCAGTTCACTCTCAAGTTTACCGCTACCTTATTGACAATAAAATATTAACACCATGCACGGACAGTTTAGTTTCAGATCTAAACTTTCCACTGAGATTGCGCTCGCACATTTCACGGACACCATTTTGGCTAACATGGACAAGGGTTAGTAACCGGAGCTGTTTTTCTTGACCTGGCTAAAGCCTTTGATACTGTCGACCATTCTCTTTTATTTGAAAAGCTTGCCTCATTTGGTCTCTCCAATGATTCTGTCAACTGGTTCAAGTCATACCTAACCAATAGAAATCAACTTACCGCCCTGGCTAACACTGTTTCCTCTTTCAAACACGTTCCTGTCGGAGTTGCTCAAGGTAGTGTTTTGGGTTCACTACTTTTTCTTATTTTAGTTAAAATGCCTATGACACGACATTTCACCCCAAAGGTTTATGGTTGCATTGTAAAGATCACTTAAAATGACTTGATAATTTATTTTATAGAATTTTGGTAACTTGTTTCCTTTGCAAGATATTCAACTTTGTTTCATATGCAAATATCACCGGTGTGACATCACATCACATCACATCACATCACATCACATCACATAATGAGTTTTCAGAAAAGTATAGTTTTCTTGACGAATACTAAAAAACTTAAAAATCGCTCTTGTATATGTATTAATTTCATAACTGGTAATTAACTTACTGTATTTGTTTGTAAAAATATTTCATCAAGATAAAATATTGCGTTTTCAAAATGTCATTATGCGATGTGATGTCGCACCGGTGATATTTGCATATGAAACAAAGTTGAATATCTTGCAAAGAAAGAAAGTTACCAAAATTCTATAAAAGAAATTATAAGTCATTTTTAGTGATCTATACAATGCAATCATAAACATTTGGGGTGAAATTTCGTGTCATAGGCACTTTAATGATTTGCCTTATTGTATCAACCATTGTGAAATATCCTTATACGCTGACGATACTGTGATATATTTTTCTTCAAACAATGCTTGCGATCTTGAAATGAAATGAAACTCCGATCTAAAACACTTGTGCAGATGGTTTAACGACAATCTTCTGACATTTAATGTCTCCAAGTGTACATTTGTAATTTACGGAAGTTCTCCATCACGGTTAACGATTCCATACTTCATAGAATTGACTCCTTCAAATACTTAGGAGTTACAATTCAACAAAACTTAACACCTGGCCAACAAAACTTAACTTTGTCTTCTCTATCTCTCACTCGTCCGATCTCACCTGTCTTACGTCAGTGAGATCTGGGCACCTCAAGCCTCGTCACGCGATCTTGCGATCCTGGAGGGTGTTCAGAGACGAGCTACTAAATTTATACTTCAAAATTATGAGTTGTCTTATCTTGAGCGTCTTAGGAAACTTAATTTATTGCCTATATCTTACTGGCTTGAAATAAAGGATCTCATCTTTTTTTTTCAAATGTAAACAAGGCCTCTACGACCTAGATATCTCCTCTTTTCTCACCTTTTCTTCTAATCTCTCATCTCGCACCCGTTCAAGCAAGGACAACTTGCTTCAAGTCAATCCGTGCAAAACGTACCTCTCTTTTTAGAAACTCTTTTTTAACCGAATCGTCTTTCTATGGAACAATCTCTCTCCGATCATTCGTAACAGTTCGTCTGTTTCATCCTTTAATTATAAGTTCCAGCTCCATTCTCACTACTCTTCTCAATTAGACTCTTCTTTTGATGTTAACAGAATGCGCACTTGGAAAACCTACTGCTCTAAAGCCGTTCTTTCAACTTAAGCTATTGCTCATAATCTAAGCTCTTAATTTTTATATAGTTATGTAAATAGTGTTCTAGTGCTTGTCTTTAATGTATGTCTACTTATTGTTTTGTATCAGGTTGGCCTTCACATGGGACTCATGTCCTGTTGACTATACCTTAATCATTGTTATAATTTTGTATGATTGTAAATAAATAAATAAATAAATAAATAAATAAATAACGTATCGACAACATCTGCAAGAAGTTTAATCAACGCCTTGGTCTCATTCGCCGCATAAAATTCTTAATCTCTATACAAGCCAGACTCACCCTTTACAACAGCCTTGTCCTCCCTCTATTGGACTACAGTGATATCGCGTGGGAGACAAAAACAACTCCACTCTAATGAACCACCTTCAAGTTCTGCAACATAACGCTGCGAGACATATCCTTAATCTTCCTCGCCACTCCTCCGCTACCGAAGCCCTTGAAAATCTAGAGTGGAAACCACTTTACCTACGTCGAAAATACCACCGTTGTATCTCTGTCTTTAAATGTCTTAAGCATCTAGTCAACTTTTATTTTAACCTTACCATGATCTCTCATATACATAGCCATAAAACACGCCAGAATGACAACTACTACCTTCCACGCCCACAATTTACTAATCTTAATCTCTTTAAATCTAAATTAAAACAATTTATCTAATTAAGTTGAACAATTTATAAGTTGAGTTTTGGGGGGTTTTTCTAACTATGAAGTATAATTATATATAATCCATTAGTAAATATCAGGGGCCGTCGAGAGGGGAACAGGGGGGGGGCAAATTTCCCCGGGCCCCGAGGTGCTGGGGACCCCTGAAAATCTTTTGTTGCGCCCCGGTCTATTTTGTGTGTTAAATATTTCCGCGCAAAGGACAAGGAAATTTGGCATGAAAAATTTAGACAAAGTCTCAATTGCGACGTACTCGTCCGGAAAAATTTTTTACCTAAGAAGTTGTCGACGGGGGGGAGGGGAAGGTTGTTCTCCGAAAAAAAAATTTTCCGGAAAAAATTTTTAAATAGTGGCCCTCAAAAAATATTTTGCCCCGGGCCCCCGTCAACCTCTCGACGGCCCTGGTAAATATTGCATATTTTTAAAATAAGCATAGTATAGTTTACCATGTATAATATAGATATATATTACAGGACCTCCCTGAAAAACACTTCGGTGAGTGGAGCTTCCTGAATAAATATTATTATTATTACTATTATTAATTTGCAAACTGTCTTCTATACAGACTCGGAAGTCGTGTTGGGTACTTGGGTTACATCAATAACGAAGCCCGCCGTTTCCATACCTACGTCGGGAACAGAGTCAACATATTTGAGGTCGCACCGAACCAGAGCAGTGGCACCGTGTTTAGTGGTAAAAACAACCCAGCTGTCGAGGCTTCTCGTGGTCTTGCTGTTCGAGAAATACTTGACAACCAGAAATGGTTCGCAGGTCCGTCGTTCCTGTGGGCAAGTGAAATATCAGCCGTAAATGAATGTCCAACACAGCTGAACGAAAGTGACGTAGAAGTGAAGACAAGTAGCATGTTATCGTCATTGATGTCCAACGCTGCGAGTATCCTTGGCAAGAAACAACCAACAGAAGCTCTTCCGTATATATTTCCATGCAATCTAAATCTAAAGTATTTCAATCGATTTTCTTCGTGGCATCAAGCAAAGAGATGGTTAGCCCAGATCAAGAGAAGAGTCGCAAGTCTCAAACGACAACATAAAAGTCATGATCAGCATCCCATGAAAAGATCTGTCAGCACAGCAGCGCCTCAGAAAGAAACAGGAACGGCAGTAATCTCCGTTGATGAACTGATCCAATCAGATATTGTTACTCTACGAAGCCTCCAGCAAAGTCATTATGCACCAGAGATTAAAGTACTGCAAAATCGTTTGGGAAACAAAAGCAGATTCGAAGATCGTAAAGATGCTCGTGAAAGGAACCATTAGGTCAAACAAACGAGTATGGATCCATTTATCGACCTGGTAGGACTCCTTGGAGTTGGTGGCCGTATACGCCGAGCATCTCTTTCGCATGCTGTTAAGCATCCTGTGATCATTCCTAAGAGCGGTCATATCGCAGAACTAATTATTCATCATTTTCATTTTGGGTGAATACTTGCCGAGATATTTTATTCTTCCCCTCTCCAAAGTCGGAAATGTAAATATAAACCGGACGAGACGAAATCCTGACAGACACAAAATCGAGATTTCGACAACATATATAACTCGGGCGAAAGATTGGGTTGAGTGGACTCTGGAGAAACCATAGCACGTCAAAAATATAACTAACCAAAATAGGTTGTTCTGTATCTAAGTCCACAAAAATTATCCTGATGAAAAGTTATTAAATTATAACCAGATTGAGGCTTCATCTTAACATTCTCGGCATTCTGATCCTCAAAGTCAAGACTATCGCCCGTATTCTAAAAACTCACTCACACTCACACTCAATGAGTGGAGGTTCAATCTGAACTTTTCTTGAGTGTCAATGCTGTTTTTGAATAGCTGGAGGGTGAGTAGTCACATAGTAAGGTACGACACTAACCCTCCAGCTATTCAAAAACAGCACCGACACTCAAGAGAAGCTCATATTGAACCTCCACTCATTGAGTGTAAGTGAGCTTTTAGAATAGGGGTGTATGTATTAACCCATTCCTGAGTTAAAAAAAAAACATATTAAGTCCTTTATTTGCCGACGCGACTCAAATAGAAGGAGAAGATCAAGCATAATCATTCAACTTTTGTAACTAACGAAAGAATGTTTTCAATACGAATTTAATATTAGCTATTTACGAAAAGGCAACTGAATGACTAATTTTGTATTATTTTATATTTTATGCATTACCAGGTTAATAAACAATTTTTCAACAGAGACTGTTATTAAAAGGTACGTAAAGTGTAAAAATTTACGATTACAAACAATCCATACAAGCGGAATTATAACTCTTTAAAGAGCTCTAATAATAAATATTAAAGCCCAGCAAAGTGCTTTTAAAAGAGCCATGAACCATTAAATTTTAAATTTTCTAATAAAAATTTAGTAACGTTTCGACATCTTCAGACTATATTAAATGTCTTAAGTTAAGACGAAACGTTACTAAATCTTTATTAAAAAATATTTAATTTAATGGTTTATGGCTCTTTTAAACGCACTTTGCTGGGCTTTAATATTTATTATTAGAATTCGTTTTCCGCCTGGTACTTCTCTGGTAACAATCTTTAAAGAGCCTTTGAAAAGCCTTTGAAATGTGCAAAAGCATCGAAACGAGGTTAGTCAGGCCCTTCCACTAAATCCAACGCACAAACTCTACTAAATCCAACGCACAAACTTATGTATGCATAAGAGTGATTCAGGGTCTTCTGATGTCTTGGACACTCAAAGTTTTCTTAAAATTAAACTACCAAGTGCAAAAACGTACTATAATTAAGGCTTTTTTGCAAACAACGCATTTGAATTTATTGAGGGCAAGTTTTAATGTGTTTTATGAACTTTTGGTATACCCTACGTCTTTCCCAGACTATGCTGCATTTTATACAAGATTGAATATACAATTCACGAATAAGTATTCACGCAAAAACGCCTGCTACGCAGGTTCACACATGATTAACGTTCTTCCAATTCATGTTCAAATATCCCAATATAATATAAGTTTTTGGCGATCGGGCGGTGTACACAATGTACATTAAAAAAATGATTTCGTACCTTGATAATTAGTAAAACAGATTTCAAAATTTTCCTCTTTGAATTCAATTCTCTTTTTAATTCATTTAACTTTTCATATGCATTTATATGCACTTGGAAGTTCAATTTTAACGAATCACATGAAAGGATGCTTAATTATTTTTGTGTGTTGTTGGTCTTATGTGTACTCAGGTGAATATGATGTTTTCAGGTTTTCTCCAGGTACTTCGATTTCCTCCTGCGCTAGCATCGGACCAACGATTCTTTTCCAACCTGAACTTCTACAAAAGTTAATTTAACTAAGAAACTTTTGCATACAATACATAGGAAACTCAAAGACTTGAACAACAAGAACCAAGTCTATATTAATACAAAGTCATACATAAACAATTGAAAAAACTTGCCCTATACTTCTCAGCTATACTAAATCAATTCGAAATTGAAAATATGTTTTACAATTTGTTATGTGAATCGATCAATTTGTCAAGCTTTCTTGCATGATTTTTTTCTATTTTTGCCCCCTTCACTCCGCCCACGATTATTGATGAACTTTAGACTTCGTTAATGCTTTGAATTCCTTTCCCCGGGTGTAAATAGCCGGGCGGAATTAGTACCCTCGCCCCGGGCTTACGCCCGGAACGGCGCTCCGCGCAGTTGGCTCGGGGATAAATAAACTTTGCTTGTTTTACACGCGTAAAAATTATAAGCCTGCTGTTTAACTGAATTGAACAATGTTTTGCTGCCTAAGTTGTTCACACTTGTCAACAATATGGAACAATATTGTTGAGCCTGAATCGGATGTAATAATATTGTTCAATATTGTTGACAACTGTGAACAATGTGGAAAACATTGTTCAATCCTGTTTTCATCAACTACATTCTGCAACAACGTGATCGTTTTTAGCCGTGCAGTATGGCATGAACAGATTGTATTAAATTGAAACAAGCTTAACATTCGATAATACTGTTAAGGAATATACAAGTAACACACCTGTTCGCACGAGTGACAGTATACCACCATGGTATGTTGTATAATGTTCTCCTTGGCATGCAATCACGGTCTTCATCTTATCCATATATTTCATTATATTCGCATTAAATGGATCAAGAACAGGCAAAGTGCATTTGAACTGAGACGATTCTTGGAAATCTTCAATAGGAGTTGCGCATTGCCTTTCCTCGAGTAAATCCACATTTTTTCGAAATTCTGCTCTGACGTAAAATTCCAAGAATGGATCGTGTAGTGGCTCGCTACTGACGTTAGTTTTGAGAAAGAGACGGCCTGATTTAGACGCAAAAACGAATCCCTGGCATTCTTTGCCGTATGATTGACACAACATCATGGCCTGTTCTGCACTGCGTAGTCGGAATTCGTGACATTTTCCGTCTTTATCACAAGGAAGGTCATTGCCTTTCACGTCAAAATAACCTACCTACAGAAAAAAAAATAAATCCTATGTTTTATCTTATTTTATCTAGTTATTTGTTATAAGTTTCATTTGCAATATAGCTCATTGTGTCATGTAATTGCAACTGTTTACTAAACTTATAACCATCCACACGGGTAAGTTATGTCACTGTAAAGGTGTTAAATTAATACCCAGCTTACTTCCTTCTTGTGAGATATATATTTAACAATTTGTTTGCGATGTTACTCTGAGTGCATATCCACACCGGGCGAGCTTGAAAAATATGCCCGGCCATGGTGGGATTCGAACCTACGACCTTTGGAATACTAGCCCAATGCTCTTCCAACGGTCAGGACGGTTCGTGTAAGTGATATTTCGGAACAGTATCTAGTTCCTTCAATACCAATGTGTTCTAGTAATATGAATTTTTTTTCTGTGTTGGTGTTGTGTACTCAGGTGAATAGAAAAAAAATTTTATTTAACAATTGTTTATATGAAAATTATCCTCACTATGACGTCGCATTGGATAGTGACTTTCCGAAAAATCGTCACGATTTTTGGGTATGTATCATATATATCGGGTTGGTGCATATCGTTAATGTGAAATTCGACGTTTGAATTCGATCCAAAGTAAAAATTCCGGACAAACGATGACGATTGCGAACTTTATTGTTGGGTCGGTCCTATAATTAAAACAGTCAAACCTAACCAATTCACACGTCGATATTCGCATGAACTCAACTGTTGAAATTAGGATCGGTTTATAACAAAAATACTTGCAGGGAGGTGAGTCCGGGATTGGACGCACCGAGGGTGGCTGAGGTGCGTCCAATCCCGGACTCACCGAACCTGCAAGTATGTTTGGTTTTTATCACATCAGTTTAACCACCGCTCACTCTCCATGCATGCATACATACATACATACCTGAAGGAAAATGGTCCATCTACATGTCTAGCTAAATTTCTATATGAATTTACAGTATGCTGTACGAATAATCATTTGAAATATTAATTCATTTTCCTAGTTAATTAACAAAATATGACTGCTATAAGTGTTTACGAGGTAGACAAATCATATAGAATGCTTTTAACGTATACCGACAAAAGAAAATTTATAAAGCGTGACTTTCCTTAATAAGAGTTAATTACCGAGAACTAGGTTTCTTAGCAAGAAACATCCCTCGGGAGCGTAGCCCTCAGAAAGCATCCCATGCTTTCTTCGCGTCACGCCCCTCGGGTTGTTTCTTGCTAAGAAACCTAGTTCTCGGTAATTAACTCTTACTTACCGGCTGGTCACTACTTATTGAGCTCCGTTGTCTTGCTGGTTTTCATGCGATTCATAATGAATCCATGTCAAGTAAACAAAGCTAATAGTCAAACTGAGGATGTTTTCCACTCATCTTGGAAAATATGTAAGCCAACTTTCACCGACAGGCTTACAATCTCAGAATCTAAAATACGGATTGGGACATCCTGAGACTTTACCAGTATACGTGGCCTTATGGTCGGCTTTCTACTCCTTTGTGGCGACGTAGCTGCAAACCCAGAACCATATCAGCAAGTGTTCAACAGCCAGAATGATATCAAATGAATATATTGATTTTAATGCGAGAAGTTTGAAAAGTTTTAAAGGATTCAAGACCAGGACAGGCAGAGTAAACAAGTTTATAATCTACATCGTTTTCGAAACCTCGTCTACACTGAGGACTCTGACATCGTCTGTGTAAACGAGAAATGGCTTAACAACAGTGTCAACAACTCTGAAATCTTGCACAGTGGATATATATTTACAGAAAGGATAGACTAGAGCAAAGAGCTGGGGGAGTATTGATTGCAATTAAAAGCGAAGCATTAAAATCTGTACGTGAGCTTCAGCTTCCTGATGCCCTAAAGTTGTTTCATCGTTGGTTACTACGGTTACCGATAAGAAAATCCTGTTTTGTTCTTGCTATCGCCCTCCCAATTGTACTCCAAACTGGGTAGTTTTATTCAACAAATTTTTGGACTTAGTTTGTAATCAATATGAAAACATGGTAATTTGTGGCGACTTCAATCTACCAAAAATCCCCTGGGAAGCTCTTGACAGTGCAATAGGTGCAAATGAACTGCCATTCGTTGAGGCATTAAACGATCATTACTTAATCCAGCTAAATTGTACCCCTACTCGAGATAATAGCGTACTAGACTTAGTAATCACTAGTGCTCCAGATCATACCATCGGGTCAGAAATATTGTCGTTAGACATTTAAAGCAGGAATTTTTACGGATCATCGCACAGTTTTGTTTGAATTCAACACCTTTATTAAAGCGCCTACTAAAACACACAGACTTATATTTGACTATGCAAAAGGTGACTTTGAAGGCCTGCGTGCAGCACTTTCTGCAATTAACCTCTCTTCGATTATAAACCAGTGGAAGATACTTTCTTAGCTACAGTGTCGGATTACATACCATCCAAGAGGTTAAAGGGTAGGAATCCTGTGCCGTGGATAAATGGTGCTATACTTAACTTGATCAATAAGAAAAACCATGTGAGAAAGAAGTTAAAAAAATCTCCGACTTGCTACCTCAAGCTACAGATTAAAAAATTGCGATAAGATATAAAGAATATGCTTCGAGAGAGCCGTAAAATATTTTTCAAGTCGATGGAAACTGAAATGAACAAAAACCCTAAGCGCTTCTGGTCAATCTTGAAAAATAATTCAAAATCTCGTGCCATACCAAACGGTGTTTCTATGCCAGTGACAGGCTTCGGGTCGGATGTTCACCGCCAACAACCACCACTCAGATCGTCAGCAGCTGAGAAACCTCAGGAAATAGCAAATTTATTCAACTCGTACTTCATCTCAGTATTCTAGCCTAGCGCGGAGATCATACTTGAGGATAGCCCTCTGCCAGATGAACCTTATATGACTGAGTTGTGTTTAACTGTCACCGAAGTGCAGGCTACGACGCTAGAGGCCCTTGATGTTACTAAAGCAACTGGGCCAGATGGAATCCCTGCTCACTTGCTTAAGGAAACAGCTTCTGTAATAGCGCCATCCATCTGTAAGCTATTCAATAAATCATCAACTTTGGGTATTGTTCCGAATGAATGGAAAAATGTTAACGTTGTGCCTGTATTCAAGAAAGGCGAGGCTGACTATACGGAGAGCTATAGACCGATTTCCCTACTATCGCAGGTGTCCAAAGTCCTAGAGAGATGCGTCCTGAACAGTTTCAAAGAACGATTACGCGAGGTTGTTAAAGAGTGTAAACACGGATGCCTTAATGGTAAATCCTGCGCCTCCAATCTTCTTGAAGTTTTACATCACATTGGCTCCCTACTTGATAATGGAAGTCAGATAGACGTAGTATATATGGACATGTCTAAGGCCTTTGATAAGGTCTGTCATAGTCGCATGTTACAAAAACTGCGTGCGTTTGGGTTTGGAGGTAGTCTGCTACGGCGGTTTGGTTCTTATTTAAAAAATCGTTACCAACGCGTAACCGCACTTGGCGCCACATCTGAGTCTCTACCAATTAGTGCCTCAAGGTTCTATCCTTGGTCCAGCTCTATTTTTGCTTTACATGAATGATCTCCCTGATGCAGTTAAAACAAATAACATCGCTATGTTTGCTGATGACACTAAGACCTATCAGGAGATAAAATCTGTCGACGATGTTGCGTCTCTTCAGGATGATCTGGATCGTCTGGATGCATGGTCAAATAGCTCAGTCCTTGCATTTAATGGTGAGAAGTGCAAAACACAGCGAATCACAAGGAAAGTCAACATCGTGGATTGAACTTATAGTTTTAAAGGTAAAAGCCTTGAGCTGGTCAATGCCGAGTGCGATTTAGGGGTATGGATCTCTAATAACCTTACATGGAACAAACACGTCCATGAACAAACAGCTCGCGCTAACAAATTACTTGGCTATATAAAGAGAAACACCTCAATCATTAAGCTCTCAGCCGTAATACGATCGATATACTAAGCACTGGTCCGGTCTCTTGTTGCGTATGCCACCCAGATATGGGCCTCTCAGTCAATAGACTTACGGAGTACCAAATATATCTTGAATTTACCGTACTTATGCCCAGTATCATATAGCGAAAGACTGAAATCGTTGCATTTGCTTCCTCTAACATACTGGCATGAATATCTCGATATGGTATTTTTTTTTAAAATGATCCACGGTCTAATAAATGTCAGTTCTAACGTTTTACCATCAGTTCGTGAAGTCAGATCAACCAGATCTTCTAGCTCGGGTGTTGTAAAATATGTCGTGGGAAAATGCAAAACCAGCACCTACCAGAAGTCGTACGTGGTAAGATTTACACGAATCTGGAATACTCTGGCTGATGAACTTAATCTGAGGATGGACAGTATTGCATCATTTAAATCTGTCTTGCTTAAATATTATTTCGCTGCCTTAGATATTTTTTACTGTGACAATCCGCGTATTTTTAAGACAGTATGTTTAAAGTGCAATTGTTGCCGTAGTCTTGTGTCCTCTTTCAAGTGCTGTAATTAATTTCTTGTTTCAAGTCTTAGGCCTAAATACTTTTTTACATATTTTATTTAAAGGGTCTGCAGTAATTGGCTATGGGCTGTTGCGGTGTCCCTGCCACTTTCTCTCTCTCTCTTTTTTAAGGCACGTTTCTTGTCTTCTGACTGATGAGTTTGTCTATATTGTAACCTATGTCTATACAGGGTGTATAAAAAAAAACTGAACAGATTTAAAATTGCTCTCAATTTCGCAAAACAGCTATTTGTAGCTGGTTTTTTATATATATAGCTTCTTTGGGTACTTATAATGTAAAATAATGAAAATAATTTCTCGAACTTAAATTTTGTGAACCAGGGGGGTGTGTCTTTTCCAACAAACTAAAAATGGCTCGCGCACAAAATTTAAAAGCTGCAATCATATTTTGAGTTAACAGATGGAAAATTTGTCGGGATTTTAATTACTGTACAAAATTTCAGACAATTTGGTTTAGTTTAAGCCCCCTTAACTATTCACGCAAAGTTACAATTTTCCCGAAAAATCAGCTATTTGCATGCTTAATTAATGCATTTGCCTAATTTGCATATGTCAGCAATATGCAAATTAGGTAAAGGCATTAATTAGCATGCGAAAGGCTGACTTTTTAGAACAAAATGAATAGTTAAAGGGCTTAAACTAAACCAAATTGTCTGAAATTTTGTACAGTAATTAAAAACCCGACAAATTTTCAATCTGTTAACTCAAAATATGATTACAGCTTTTAAATTTTGTGCGCGAGCCATTTTTAGTTTGTTTGAAAAGACACCCCCCCCCCCCTGGTTTACAAAATTTGAGATCGCGAAATTTTTTTCAATATTTTACATTATAAGTACCCAAAGAAGCTACATATATAAAAAACCAGACACAAATAGGTATTTTGCAAAATTGAGAGCAATTTCAAATCTGTTCAGTTTTTTTTTTATACACCCTGTATTGTAATGTATTTTATGCAAATCTAATAAATTAAAAATTAAATAAAAATATTGAGAGAAGAATAGACGTTACATCCTTAAGGGACTCTTTAAAAATTTTGACATTGTTTAAAGTATAAAGAGGTCATCAAACCTGTTCAGGGCATTTTTTAACTATATAACTACTGGGGAATTTATCCCAGTAGGCCCTTTGTTTGCCCCAGTAGTGAAGCAAGATTTTCAGATGAACCGGGCCCCTGCTTTCTCGTATCCTCTCACATTCTCGACATTCCATCTTATAAAAGTCAGAACAGGCAGGGGCAGCGATAAAAGGGGGGGGGGTGTTTGGAACACCCCGCAGTCGTCAGGTAGTCGGCAAATTATTTAATTCCAGTTGGATAGGAAGGAAAGAAACTAATATATCTGAATTACACTGATTAGAAACTAATAATTGTAGCTAAAATTTAGAGAAATGTATGACAAATTACGGAAAATTAAACAAACAGTGCTACGTTAACCGAAAAGAAAATGAAAAGTTTAATGGGCGGAAATGTTTTTAATGTAGTGTTACGAAAATATCTAAATAGTATAAAAATAGGTACGCGACGCGTACATGTATCTGCGAAAAAAGTTGATTCACATTTTGTATTTTCTTGAAAGAAACTGAAAAATGAAGATGACAAGGGCTGTACACAGCGGGGAGTGCAGCAGGGCAAGTGCTACCACCCCCCCCCCCCCCCCCCCCCCCCCCCCCCCCCCCCCCCCCCACCCCCAACCCTACCCCCACCCCCGCACCGAGAAAATTTAACTAACTTTATAATGTGATTATGATTGTAAGTTCTGTAACAGATAATTATGCAGTCAGGAAATAAAAATTTCATGCAAACAATATTCAAAGTGTCTATACAGCCTGCTATTTAGTAAACTGTCACCTGTCAATTCAATCCATACTCATCAAATTTTCAAAACTTTATTGTAATCATATGAAGCAAAAGTTATGTCACTTGTTGTTTACACTTGCCAATGTTAACTGTTGAGTAACATATACAAAATATTTGGTGAACATGTCGAAGACCACTGAATAATTGAGAATGTTTTGAAGGTCATGAGTGAAGTATATAATTAAATTCCAGTTCTGTGCACAGTTAATGATATACCACACTGTTCGGTTTAACACGTACAGCACATTCACACGAAAACAATCGTGTTGTGGGAGATTATCTGTTTGAGTAGAAGGTATCACAAGTTTAGTTTTGTACATTGTGTGCCATTGATCAAATCCACCATATAATATGTGATTACTCATTGTAGCTGTTAAGTTATTTTCCATACTAATGAATTTAGGTAAGATTGTCTTGCAAGTTGGTTGTTCTGACAAAATTATCCAGCCAATATCCAGTGCATTTATTCTTCATTTTGTATTAATCTCTAAAGAAAAATATTTATGTTAGAAAGCAAAATGACAATGTAATGAGATTCGGGAGGGTGAGGATTCTTTTATTTGAAAATGTTTGTAAAAATTTTGTTTAATTAACTCTAATGTGTAAAACCAAAATGTATAAGTATTTTAACTGATAACATCTTCAACCTTTGCTCTAACACTACATTTGATGACAGCTTTATAGTTGGACTGTTGTTTTGAACAGAGTTATGGAGTCAATATACAGAAATACAGGACCACAGGATTTAATTCAATATCTCCTGAGAATGTTTTCACTGTTTAAAATATTACAGAAGTCACAGAAGGATTGTTTTTAATACTGTATAAATTTTTTTGTGAACTATGTTGACAAATGGCTTAATAAAATATCCTCGAAAATATCCAATATTTTAACAGCGTGTAAACTCTACGCCGAAGATACGGCAATGTTAACTATAGATAGTATCGTAAATATTTGCCGAACTGGCAAACTCATGTATTATAAAACTTATAAAATATGTGGGACATATATTTGCACAAATTTGGTATTTAAATATATAATATGTGGTATTTGACTACTTACCAGATGAGGATAAGATTCCATGTTGATAAATAACTTCGGAATAATATCGCAAGTAGAATGGCGAGAAAAGTCAGAAAACAAGACAGCCAATTCAAGATAAATTGATAAAAATATCAAGATATTTTTGAAAGAATAAAAAACACGATTTATACACGAGGCCTGACGAGACTAACGTATGCCCGTTCGCAGGTTAGATGAGCGGGCACGATGTAAACAGTTGATGTAAACGAATCGCTGATTGGCTTAAATTGGCATAAAATAGCTTAAAATATATAAGCTCGTCGCTGAATGGCTATGTGTTAACATACGGTAACACTGACGGTCACGTTTGCGATAGCAATATATCTGCTTCGCAGATACAAAAATAGTTCAGTGTGCACCCCAGGTAATTATAGATATTAGTTACGTCAAATGGAGACGTAACTAATAAAAAACGCAGAGAAAGTAATATCATTTCGGACCTGCGTAAAAGTGTCAATTATCTGACCATTAGGCAAGATAAATGATTTGTCAAACTGTCAAAGTTGGACGAAAGCCTTGCATGGTGGCCTGTTGTGTTTACATAATTCAAAGTCCAAGGATGGTTCTTTATTGACCTGGAAAATGTGCATGCTTAGGGGGGTTTCTGTCAATCATTCTTCGGTATATTTCGCGCGGTCGAGTAATTATAACATTGGTTTAATAAAATTGTAAGAAAATTTAGTTTAATAGGTAAAGTAAGGTTCACATAGGTATACATGTGGTTTGAAGATTTTACTATGATATTTTGATAAGTATTTTAAGTTGTTAACATATTTTAACATTGATCGATGGAACAGCGAACCGACTCGACAAGTGCGACAACGCCTTAAATAAACAGAATGCGAGAGCTGGAACGAGCAAGCAACGCCAACCCACACTTTTATAACTAAACGTTCATTGGCTGAATATAAATCACACCACTTGCTACATCACATGTGTAAAGATTCAGCATAACATAAAAGAGAGCGTAAAAGGGCGTGCACAACCAAAATTCCGGTCAGTGTCCTGAACAAGTAAAAATTATGTATGAAAAGTTGTAGAAAGCTCACAACGAAACAAGAAAAACGACAAAGAAAAACGAACTATAAACGACGAAGAAGGGCTAAAGAAAGAAGAGTAATTTGAAACAGAACTATTCCAATATTAACATTAGTGACAATAATTAGAAAAGTTGTAACGATTCACTACACTACCTAAATAAAGCCTCGTAACAGTAGAGCCGTGAACGCCCCCCCCCCCAAAAAAAAAATTGCCAACCATTTTGGGAAAAGAAATTTTATTTATTTATTAAACTTTACCTACACAAACACGCACACAAACA